TGCCATTCTGTATTCCCATCAGAAGTGTGTAACAATTCTAATTCTTTCTTGCCAGTATTTAGTGTGAGCAGTTACAATTAGCCATACTAGTATATATGTGGTGGTATTTCATTGTTTTTTAATCTGCATGTTCTTTAAGGTTGAATATTTTTTCATGCACTTATTTGATATTCAGATACTTCTCCGGTGAAGTGTCTGCTCAAATCTTGGCACATTTCTTTCATTGAGTTGTTTCATTTCTAAATATTCAATTTTCAGTTGTTAAAAAATATATTCTGGATTTAAGTCCTTTATTTGATATGGTTTGCAAATATTTTCTCCCAGTCTGTGCCTTTTATTTTTCCTTGAGTTTCTTTTGAAAAGAGAAAGCTTTAAATGTTGAGGAAGTCTCAGATTTAATCGCACTTCTTCCTTAAAGATATTCCCAAATATCTTTACATTGAGATCTCTACCAGAATCACAATTTAAGGTACCATTGTAGGAGGTAAGGATATAACAATAATACCTTTATCTTTAGGAGTTTACAGTTGAGTTTGGGCTGGGAGAGGGAGGAAGAGTTAATACAGAATACCATGAGATGTGATAAATGCAATAAGAAAGAAATGCTTAAAGTCTCATAGAAACCTGTTGTTTAGGTGTAAAAATAAAAACCTACAATGTCTAAACATAAACAGTGAAGGATTTTTTACTTAATCTTGAAATGAAAAAAAATTTAAGTACCAAACAAATACTATGATCCATAAAAGTTTCTTTTCAACTTAGGCAACATAGAAATACAAAGAGTAAATTTCCTTCATATGTTGAGTACATAGTACTTATAAATAAATAATATAGGAAGAAAATAGAAACATATTCAAAATTTAAAGACAGGCATATAAAAGTATATGCTGATGTTACTTAAAGATGCTCAACTTCACACATATTAGATGCATCTTAAATGCCAAGCACATACATTTTTCCAATTATTCCAATAGTAAAAACCAAAAGCCAGAGGGTGTTAAATAAATAAGGGAGGCTGAGTTGATTCCAATATGTAGAAATACAAACTAGAGTTAGTATCAGGAAGAACAGAATTAATACACATATGAATTCAAAACAAAACAAAACAAATGCAATTCCTTGTTACAGGAATTGAATAGGGAACTTCATCAACAAAATGAGTGGAAATTGAAATGAGAGGTTTCTCTAGGGAAAGGCATAAGACTTAAGCACAAAGGCTTGAGAATGAAATCCTCACAGTGGGAAGGAGCCTGGGCTGCAATACTTCTCAGAGGCAAATACCTTTATCAGATTCTTGTGCTCCTTCTCAAGATTTTTTTATTCCCACATAGGAATATGTATATGTATCATTCCAACCCCTTTATTAAAACACAATGGCTTCCTGTATTTCTTCTTCTTCACTTTGCTATTGCCACGTCATAAAATTTTTTGGATAACCTTCTATTCAAGTATCAATAGAATTGCTTTATCCTTTTAAAGGCTGCCTGTATTCCACTGACTGGATATCGAGGTCGTTTCAGATCCTTTGCTGGTGTGGATTTACTTCTATTTACCTTGCTCATAGGTTACTTTGTTCCTTTAATCTGAAGACTCATAGGAACTCTTAGCCATCATCTCTCTTCATACACTGCCTCTCACAGTCCTTCTGAAGATTTTTTTTGAGCTTCTCATTCTAAAGTTTATTTCTTACATTAACGTTTGTGTTTTTCACTCCTTTTTGTGTATACTGACATTTTCAGATATATTATTTTCAATTGTTTTTTATCGTCATCTTCTATTATTTAATTGGTTAATTGATTTTAATTTTAAATACACTCTTTTTAAAAAAAATGTTTGAACGCCTATTTGATTCTTTTGCAAATCCACATTTTTTAACACCATATCCTGTTCTTGACTTATAAGTACCATTTCTTTATTTTAAAAGGACATGATAATTAAAAATAATTTTGGATTTTTTAAATCTCTAAATTATGCTTTCCCCTTTTATGGCCCATTTTCTCAATAATTTACAATTTTGGATTCAAATTTCTTTAATGAGAGTGGTTTTACTGAAAGTCTTGTGGGTTCTGGACTGTGGGAGTGTCCCTACAGAAGTAAGCTCTAACACTGGCCCTGTTGGATGGTACTGATATCTTCTGCTCCCCTTTCTCCAGGTGGGTTAGCTGTTACACATAGATAGCACAATTTAGAAAACAGAATCCCACAGGAAGCAGAAGACTTCTGTTCCAGTGGATGACATTTTTTTTTTCTTAAAGACCTAGATATGCATCAGGGATATGAGGGTGCTTGAATTTCATTGTTTAACACTGGACTATTTTAATATATCTGTAAATTATTTAATCAAAAGCATATGGATAAATATATATATTTAAATCTAATCTAAGCTTCAGAGAATGTTAGATGAAAATTAAGTTAGAAAAGAATTTAAGATTAAAGCAACACAGTGTGGCTTAGTCCAAGATAATGGTTCTGTTTGAATACTAACTCTGGAGGAAAAATTAGATTATATGTGTTTTCAAATTTTTATTCATCATAAACAGGCTCACATTTTATTAAAGAGAGAATGTACCTGGGTCTCCTAATGCATTGCTATTGCATTATGCAGGTGAGTTTTCCTATGGTGTGGATATATGAATATTGAACTATAAATGAATCCTATTTTCTGGAAGTCTTCATTTCCATGATGGAAAATAGTAAGGGGAAAATCTATTAACTTTTGCTTTCAGTTTTTAGAATGCCAAGAATTTTAAAAATGTGAGATGTAAGAGATTTGAAATAAAATCTTGGTATAATAATATTAAAAGGCTAGCAAATAAAATGCTATGAATACTAATACTTACCTACATTTATTATATATATATGTGTCAGAATATTAAACAGTTTTTATTATTTATTCTATATGTAAGTTTTTACAAATTCTTATTTACTTTACCATTATTCAAATTCTAGATAAATGCAGAGTTGGCAAAAAATGCCACAGGTCATTGAAGGGAAAATGTAATGGCTGTTAAATGTAGTTGTCCTCATAAATAAGAATAGCAGTGGGGTTATCAGGGTTATGAAATATTTATAGTAATATAAATTACACTAACTATTAATAGTTTATCTGTTGAGGTTAGAAAGGGGAAGGAAGGATGGTAACACAGATCTAGAGTCATCCTTAAAGAAATATTCATCATTTATATTTTTGGCAAGAATTCTCCAAATGAATAGATCTACATTTTATATATCTGTCTATAAAATGACTACATTTACTGATGGACATTGCAACTTTCCCCGATGGCTGATTCTCCTTTCTACTTGAATAATTTCTCGTTAACGAATTTTTCCTCCAATACAGCCCTCTGAAATCGTTCAACTGTATTTCCTAAGTAATGTCCTACCAGCAGCAGAAGCACCTGGGAAGGGAGGCGAGCTACAGAGGGAGAGTCGGTGAGACTCAGCTCTAGTGAGTCTGTAGCTCTGGGCTAGAGCCCTATTCTCTGCACCCCAAACAATGGCCTCAGACATACCCACCGCTTGGGATGGAATGTGGTGAGACACATGACATGTACATCTTTCCAGCATCTGGCTCTACCTAAATCATCAGCATGGCTCAGCCGTGACAGCCTGAGGCTGGGAAGCAGGGTATGCGTAGGGCTGGGAAGACACAGCTCGGAGCACTGAGGACACACTGAGCTCTCCAGAATTGTTTTCATTAACAGTTCAATCACATATAACCTTGCAGGCTAGAATGGGCTAGTGGCATCATTAATAATATAATTTATACAGGAACATAAATTTTATGTCCTAAAAAACAAATTTAAAATTTTAACACATTAATGATAATAATGGCATATACTGAGAATTTACATTTGTTATTTTAATCTTCAAAAATATGAGGGCACCCAGGTTTAGGTAAGAAAAGTAACTTTGTTTTTATAAGTTGAATATTTAAAATTTTTACTATTGAAATTAACTTCTGATTGGCCTACCATTTATAAATAGATAACATATACATAGATATACCTATATATAGATATATGCACATATAGACATATAGATAACAAATATATATATTTGAGAGAGAGAACATGCTAGCAGAGGGGAGTGGCAAAGGGAAAGAGAGAATTTGCAATATGCTCCATGCTCTGCATTGAGCTCCATGAGGAGTTCCATCCCACAACCTTGGAATCCTGACTTGAGCAGAAATCAAGAGTGAGTCGCGCTCAATCGACTGAGTTACCCAGGTGCCTCTAGATGTTTAGATTTTGATCGAAGGTTGCACATTGACACTGATATCAAGAGTACGAAAGTCACGGCTGGTCTCTGCTGCTCTACCATCACAAAACCCTGATGCATGAGACCAAAACTGAGCCTACACTGAATTCTCTCATTGAAATGAATGTTTTTATGATGTTGATGAAGGCAATGCAAAAGTTAAGTTCAGCTTAATAAAATTATAGCTGGAATTAGTTATTATTTTCTACAATCAACTATATTATGTGATAATCAATTATTAGTCCATTAAATTGAATAAATTCCTGGCTGGATTAATCAGACATTATTATCATCCTATGCATTGATTTAGACTCATGTAAAACACACATTAGCCAATTTTGAAAATTCCTTCTAACTTTTTTTAAACATAGGTCTCCCTAGTTTAGATACAGTCAAACTTAAGATAGTTTAAATACAGTCAAACTTAAGATAGTTTGACTGTAAACAGCTCCCCTAGTTCTTTAACATTATATTCAAATAAATATATGTATTTTGTCAAATATAGCTTTGACTGAGTTTACTTAGATTAAATAATTTTTATAACTGTTTTTAATATGATTAGAGAAATAGATATATGACATAATATGAAAAAAAATCTAATATATTATGTATGCTCCTAAAGAGCAAATTAGAGTGCCTATTATTTCCACATAAAAATTAAATTCAATCAAGATTATTTTCTATAATAGATAACTGAAAGTAATATGTGATTTGTCTCTTGAAGTATGTTTTCACCTTACCTGCTGGTTTACAGGAAAGTTTCTGTTGATTTTTTTAATCTGCAATGATAAATAAATAAAAGTGAGAACAATCAACAAAGTTACACAAGAGCCCCCAAATTTTATGAGAATCTATTTTTAGTGAGTTAATATATACTGCTATTTTAAATTGACATACTAAAATCATTGCATGTCAAACATCAATTGCAAATTTTAAAAACTTTTGGCTACCAAAAAGATTCCAAATTTGATATATACACATTTCCAAAAATATTTTCTTTCATTTTTATTTTTTACAAATAGTTTATTGTCAAGTTAGTTTCCATATAACACCCAGTGCTCATCCCCACAAGTGCCCTCCTCCATGCCCATCTCCCCCCTCACCCCCCACACCCATCAGTCCTCAGTTTGTTCTCAGTATTCAAGAGTCTTTTATGGTTTGCCTCTCTCCCTCTCCCCCACTATTATTTTCAACTAATGATTTTCTCATTTATGAGAAACAAAAAGCCTGGGTGTTCCATACCATGTTAAATGACAATCTATCAAGAATATAGAACAACTTTTTGTAATTTAATTTTTCACTTTACTTTTTTTTACATTTACTTTAAGATAATTTCATGACTGACATTTCATAACATTTTAAAATAAATCTTCAGAGAAAGAATTTTATCTGTATTAAGTCATATTGATGAACTTTAAACTCCAATTGTAAATGAATATCAGAGTTTAGACAAATGACCTTATAACACAAAGTCTTTTGTTCAACAAAAGTTTACTAATAAAAACCAATTTTTATTTTTCATTGGCTTTATGGAGAAACTTAAAGAATACTAACTTTTTATAGTATAATCTCACATCAAGCTAAACACAGACTTTTCACTTAGAAATTGTTTTACTCATTTATTTGATTTTTCTCTGTTAGTTTTTAGTTCCCTTTGTCCTGTTGATAATTGTGTACTAACAGGAAATGCAATCGATACTAATCACAAAGTTGGAAAGTCATCAATTGGCTTATGTACAGAATTACTGGCAACATATGTATCAGTTAACATATACGAGAAGAGAAAATTTTGGAAGATTTATATGATTTCAACAGGGACACATACAAAAAAAATAGATCTTTCTTACATTACTACCGTTATTTTTAAATAGCTTTTGTCTCGGTGAGGAATCAGCTAAAGAAGTCTCTAAAACTACCGGTGTCTTTAGCTAAAATCAGGATAGTTTGGAGACACAAAGAGGAAAAAAAACAAACAACAGTTTCCTAAGCATCTTTTATTAATCAATAAAAAACCCATATGGAAAACCTGGCAGAACAATGCGTTTCGCTAGTTCTTACGGATTGTTATAAAAAATTGTAAAATGATACCAATAGTTTGTATGGACCTTTGTCCTCTGGCACAAAGTATCTAGTTTTGGAAATTTTGATGTTTTAACCTGAAAGAAAAATCCGAATAATCTAAGTAAACGTAACGATGCTCAGGCCACTGTGATGTACGGATGTAAATGTGCACATGAACATATATGTAAGATTCGATAAACGCAGTGGGAAGGGTGGAGACGGTCATTTAGTGTTTTCTAAAATCCTTTCAATAATCTACCAGTGTGAGTCACAGTGCTGCAAGTCCTGGAACACGAAAATGAAAGACATTCTCTTCAGAGGCAATAGCATAATGATGCTCGTTTACAGAGTCTGAAACGGCCAAGTTGCTGCAGTGTGAACGGATTTAAGTTCAGTGCAGGAGCTGCAGTGTAGACGCATAATAACTTTATCACGCTGTGCGGTCATAGAGACCTCCCTCTGAATTCAGCTGTACCTGTTACTGAATATCATTCAGGCAAGTTATTAACTACCCTATGTCTAATTTCCACCCTAAGTCAAAAGTCTTTAACTACATTAGCCACATATATTTGTTGGAAAAGTAAATGAAGTCACAAATGCCGTGAAGTTAGAGCGCAATATGTGACGATTATTAATATAATAATATTAGTATAATATTATATAATGATATATTTTATTATATATAATAAATATAATATTAATATAATAATAAAAATAATATATAAAATTAATATAAAAGAAGTCTGGATTTCCTTTGAAGACAATGAGGTTGTTTTAAAGAGGCTAAGCAATGATGGCTTTTTTCTCCTATACTTTGTAAATCCCCTTCTGTTTTCTTGTCAACTCTAGATTAATCCCTATACACCCAGTCATCAAGTGAGTGGCAAACATGTATGAACCAGCCTGGGGTCCAGAGCATAGGTTGCCAGCTGTTTACCTCCAGAACCTCAATCACTTGCAGGCATGCCCCAAGTTAGAAGGGTGAAAATCAGTTAAAGTTTCTTCAGATGTGAAAATCTTTCTTATTTGGAAACAGTATGCCTACTTTACCTAGGAATATTTTAGGAAACTTAATCTATAAATGAATATTCAGTGTGGAAAATGCTAGAAGTACTTTCTTTTAAATGACTCACTTAGTAGTCATAAGAAATTGTATCAATAAAACAGCTTAATAAAAGAAACATAATGGAAACATTAACAATAATTTAAATTTACTTTTAAAAATAAAGCTTTATGTCATACAATTGAAATAATGTTTAACTTATTAAAAGTAATAAAATATCAGGTGATAATATATTCTTTTTAAAGTTTATTTATTTATTTTGGGAGAGAGAGAGAGAGAGAGCCATGAGCAGAGGAAGGGGCAGAGAGAGAGAGAGAGAGAGGAAGAGAATCCCAAGCACCTTGTCAACGCAGAGCCCAATGCAGGGCTCGATCCCATAAACTATGAGCTCATGACCTGAACCAAAACCAAAAGTTGATTAACCAACCTACTGAGTAACCCAAGTGCCACTAAATAATACATTCTTAATGAAATGTATTCATTGAGCAAAGTTTTAAAAATTGTCTACTTTTGGGGAACATGGGTGGCTCAGTCAGTTAAGCGTTAGACTTTGGCTCAGGTCATGATCTCACAGTTCCTGGGTTCAAGTCTTGCTGACAGCTCAGAGGCTGAAGTCTGCTTTGAATTCTGTCTCCCTCTCTCTCTGCCCCTCCCCTGCTTGTACTCTGTGTGTCTCTCTCTCAAAAATAAACATAAACGATTATTTAAAAATTGTCTATTTTTGGCGACAATATTAATTCTTTTTTTTAACATTTTAGACTTTATTTATTTTTTATTTTTTACAAATATTTTATTGTCAAATTAGTTTCCACATAACACCCAGTGCTCATCCCCACAAGTGTCCTCCTCCATGCCCATCCCTCCCTCCCTCACACATCCATCAGTCCTCAGTTTTTGTCACCATTCAAGAGTCTCTCATGGTTTGCCTCTCTCCCTTTCCTCCACCATTTCCCCCTTCTTCTCCCCCTTGTTCCTCCGTCAAGTTCCTCCTAATCCTCCTATACGTGCAAACATATGATATTTGTCCTTCTCTGCCTGACTTATTTCGCTCAGCATAACACCCTCAAGGTCCATCCATGTTGCTACACATGGCCAGATTTCATTGTTTCTCATTGCCATGTAGTATTCCATGGTCTAGATAAACCACATCTTCTTGATCCATTCGTCCGTTGATGGACACTTAGGCTCTTTCCATGTTTTCGCTGCAACAATATTAATTCTAAGTAATGGAAATCCTAAATTCTCTGCATTATTTTTAAGACTGCTCTTCAAATAAGGAAAATTAAAATCTGTCGAAAAGATTTTTAATGTTAAACTTCTTAGAAACCAATGTTAATTATGTGTTATCAGAACCAGTTGTTTGTGTTATGAGAAGCCAAAAAATTAATATAATCTTGAACAAAATAGACTCAGTGTGAACATGAAGGCTCAAAGCGAGGAAAAGATATAATTGCATTCCCATCAAACTAGCTGCTTATGGAGTGGGATTACCTAAATTATTAATCCTGAGGCTGTAAAGGAAGCAGAGAGTGATTTTGACTAGGACTGCCTAAAAGTCATTCAATAAGAGTAGCAAGTGACATAGACAACTACCAGGGAAAGTGCATTTGGGTGAAGGAAATCCACATTAAGGCTTTTAATCCAAAAGAGAAAGGTAAACCTGTAAAAACTGAACGTTTAACATCATGTTGATTTAAGCTAAGAATGTAGAATACAATTAATGTCTACTTGAAAGAATAAGAGAATACAATTTGCATTGTGTATTTTTTTCAGGAACCCCTCATATCTTAACAAAAAAAAGGAAGTATACTTGAATCAATACTCATAATGTAAAGAAATGATTGAGATAAAGGAAGTAAGGAAGGGAGGGAGAAAGAAGGGGAAGAAGGGAGGGACAGGGGAGGGAGGGACAGAGGAAGGAAGGGAGGGATGGAGGAAGGGAAGGAAGAATAGGTAAATCTGCCAGGCAGAAGATTCCTAATAATTTATGTAGATATTCTATCTTGAAGGATGAGTATAGAATTAGAATTTATGTTGCTTCCTTAAGGAAAAATGTTTATTTCAAAGACAAAATTTTTATAAATCACTTTTAATCATATACCTTTTTACAAATCTGATGGAACTTATATGACCTCTTCCAGAGGATTTATAGATTCTTTAAAACTTTATAGAGACTTCTAGAAAAAAAGAGAAATTAATGAGATGGCTCAAGAGATAGAGTTGACTTGACTTTCTTGCATCAGGTAGTGAAGCATGATTGTCCTAATAGAGAGGATGACGACAGCGAAATGAGCTGGGACTGACAGTGACATGTCCACAGCAGGGTTCTTGCATCTCCAACAACCAGATCCACCATGAAAACTTTCTGAATCCTCTAGTGCAACCAACCAGTGACTTTCTCTTCAGTACTCCCTGTGGGTCTAGTTTTTTCATTGTTGTTGTTGCATGTGCTTACTGACCTCTCCATCATGTAACCCTCCATTGAGGGGCCTTTATCCTCCCCCAACAATGTGGCGGGGGGTGGGGGTGGGCAGGCAGTGCCACTCTTCCCTGGAAGTGTGTCCACATTACCTACCAAGTATTGTCAATCACAGTTAGCTATCGAGTGGGACATATTGCATGTCGCTCCTACCTTCTCAAACTTATTGATAATCC